TGAGAGACTGGAAGTGCAAATATGAAGCCTGGTAGTGGATCTCAGCTCATTAGCACGTTAAGGGATTACAGAAATATTGTCAATGCTACAAGGCGGAACCCTTTGTTGCCGTTCAAGTACCAGATGTTTTGGCAAGGACTTTTAAACCGATTAGGAATCGTTAGGATTAGGAATCGTTTGTGTGAAGTTGGCCCACATTGTATGCCCTTGAAGACGACCTGTAGCAACAGTTCCCACCAGCAGCATGTCAGGAGAATATGGTGTAGCGAGCACCTAGAAGGGAACACCAATTGAAATGATGAGTCGCGTTTCTGCCTGTATAGTGATAGCTGGCTCGGGACAGTTAACCGAGAACAGGGGATGCATACTATGCCCCATTTCGTCCTCCCTTCAGTGCAGTTAAAGGAGGCGGTGTAATAGTCAGGGCGACAATTTCCACTGGAGGACGAACTGGACTTCATGTCGTCGAAGGCGACCTTACGGCAGTCCGTTATGTCCAAGAAATTATCGGGGAATACTCTCCTCAAACTAGGGATCTTTCTGGCAGGATGACAATGCCCCAGACCTCATCGACGCAGAGTTGTTCATCATTGTTTATAAAACTTGGGATTTTCTCATCTGCCTCTTCTCCCGTTGTCACCAGATTATTGTAAAAGTGGCTAATATGACAGTTTCACGCCTTCTTTATTTGCCTAAGCCATAAAGAAGAAAATTTTCTGGGCAAATTATTGGACAACTCTGACTGAAAAGTATGTTGTTTCCAGTAATTTGGATGTCTTAAAACCGAAATTGCTTTTTAAAAAATATATTGTTGGAGTTCAAAGAGGAAAAGGGAGATTTTCTTTCGGTTCAAGAGCTGTGGAAACTGTACACCTTACAGAGAACTGGATCCAGGTGTAATGGGCGCGAACGTATTATTCCTATACGGAAACATTCTTATTTAGGCAATTGAACGCTAAGCCATATCAAACTACTGATTCTGAGATATTTTCTCTCTGCAACATGTGAGCGGACCACGAAATTAGTGAATTTAATGATTTAAAATGAAGTAGATTTCACTAAAGCTCTCCGTGGCCATTTCATTTGTCGTCGAGAATCCAATCCGATTACACGACATTTGAGAAAAAATGGCAATAAGGAGGGAAAATTCAAAAGGTGGGGTTGAGATGGGAAGTTAGTGTCCGAGTGGATCGAGGTCACGGTAGCTCAAGTGGTAGAGCAGCGGCGTATCTAGCCGAAGATCGTGGGTTCGAATCCGGCTCGTGTCATTGCCTTTTTGTTCTCAACTAAAAATCTTAATTAATCGTAATATATTAATTGGTCAAGCGGACCACGAAATTCGTGAATTTTTGAGTACTTGTGCTACCCTGGACGATCCGGGGCATAGAAGCAAAGAAAGAGTTGACATGTTGACCAAAGACGGCGCCAACATTGACAGGCCCGGAACCCTACTGTGGCCTAGCATTTTACCACAAAAGAGTATAATCAAAGTTACCGCATAGCTTACAAAGGAATTACCGGCAGGCAACCGCAACCGAACCAATATTCTGGTTGAACTGACAGAGCACTGCCACTTAAGAAAGCACATGCACCGTAGGACAGACAGAAGAAACACTGTGCAGATATTTCCAGGAAGATGAGGAGGCCGCAGAACACATTTTACGTATTTTTGAAGGAATGTGTAGGTACAGGTACTTCCAACTAGCACAGGAGAAGCCACATGCATGATCCTACACTAACGTGCCGCTGACAAGGCTATGGAGGTTGATTAACAACCTGAAGCTGGCCAGCGAGTTATAGAAAACAGGGGAGCACAATTCAGGTCGAGGTGCAGAAGGCATTGTGGCCTCTTCTATCACTATCCCTATCCGTTCACCGAGCCGAACACTTATGCCGGATGAGGCTTTCCGATGCTCCTGGCTGGATGACTCAATACTGTAAGTTGGCTACTTATAATAGAGCTGCATTAATGTCCCAACATAACAATCAAATCAAATCAGATACGTAAACTTCCGGCAGACATTTGGATGCCATGCCACCGTGCCGTACAGTTTGTTTGTTTTCATCTTTTTTCATCCTTTTTATTACAACTTATTATTATGATTATTTTTTTAAGGACGTTTTAACGGCTGCGGTCATTTCACGCCGTAACATTTAAACCTTCTTTCTTAGGTTAGCTCTACCCTTCTGAGTGCTAGAACGTTCTGATTCCAAACATTCACACATAAACTAATCCATCTTTTTCCCAACGCAAGCTTTAATTTATCCTTTTAAAATACTTAACTTGGAAAGCTAAATGTACGCAAAAACCCATTTTAAATTATAAAATTAATCCTGTTCTTTAATTAGAACTTCGAATTTCGTTCCATAATTTAAACATTTCCCACAGACTTGTAAGGCCATTAATAATAACAATAACTTTTCAATTAATTAATCTTTATATAAGGTATTGGTTGAAATGAAAAAGTTAGCGTCACGAGCGGGATTCGAACCCACGAACTTCGGCTAAATACCCTGCTGCTCTACCACTTGAGATATCTTGACTTCGATCCACTCGGACATCAATTTCCACCAACTTGAAAAATGGCAAAAAGGAGGGAAAATTCGAAAGGTAGGTTGAGATGGGAAGTTGTGACCGAGTGGAACGAAGTCACGATAACTCAAGTGGTAGACCAGCGTCTTATGTAGCCGAAGGTCGTGTGTTCGAATCCCGCTCTTGTCGCTAACTTTTTCATTTCAACCAATACCTTAACGTAAAGATTAATTAATTGAAAGAAGTTATTTGGTCAATCGGACCACGAAATATAATGGATTTAATAAATTCTTAGTATTCTTTTGATATCAGTGGTAGAATTGACAGAGCAATTATTTCAAATTACACGCAAATTACCAGTCAGATTTTATATCCCTCTTTGATAATAGAGCATTTGCTATAAAAATTGACAATAACCTTTTGGCTTTTATATCTAAACCAGCCTGAGTTGACCACCATGACACTATTTGCCGATGTCAACACGTCACAAGATGGTTCGCTAGACCTGTTTTCAAGAAAATGGTAAATTATCAGACGTATAATAATGGGTTAAGAAATATGAATGTACATTATTTGTCACTAGATGTAGTACTTAGTAAAAAAAACGTATTTGATTATGTGATGTGAATATGATAATCCAGTAATAATTCTGTCTTATGTCAGTAGTTTAGCAGTACGCATTTTACTGCACCTTAAACGTAAAATAAAATATTACAAATGATCATATTCATTGGTATAAAAGAAAATCTTTAATCCACAGTGATCCCGGAAGTTAGAGAAACTGTGAAAGTGACTATCATCATCTTCCATCAAAGCGTGCCATGTCATCCACTCCACGGCCATAATATATAAAACACAGCTCAAAATTAATTTTCCTACCCAGAGGGGAAAAATTATGCATAGACTGAGCTTTCCTGGCAATATGAAAACACTTTATTCCGCCAAGAGAGCATCAGAGAAAGCTTTGGCAAATAAAATAAAAACAGTTGCGGTCGTATTTAGAAAGGGAGTGTCAGGGAGAGGAAGGGGCATGAATATCTAGGCCAGGGCTAACGAGTTTATATTACCGGAGGGCATCTCGCTTCATCCCTAGTGTGTAGAAGCTCACAAAACACGTCTTCCTTTCTATAATTTATAAACTATTTTTTAAAGGTAGATAATTAAGTTGTCAGGTATGCAAATGAACCGACGGATGCATTTAAAGTCACTGAACATTAAATATTACAAGATTTTTGTTGTTGACAAGGTATGCTCATTTTTAACCATTTCAAAAATGCATCTAATTGATTTTGTGTTTCCTCCTCCAAATTATTTTCGCATTCATTATTACAGATTAAAAAATGTTATGTTAAAGAACCATACAATGGTTTCTCATTGAAGATTGTATTACATGCGAGACGAACTGGTTTAATAACATAAACCATAATAATAATAATCGATCAATAGCGAGAATAAGCGGACCTGGATATTAACTTTTCAACCGCTGTCGTCATACTTGCGGACATTCTGTACAACTCCCTAATCTGCGACTGTCGTGTAACTTATTATTTAACCAGTTCGTTTTTTACATGTGGGAAGTCTTCAATTTAAAAAGAAAATAATTATTCTACTAGAAGCCTAGGTCTTACAATCGTTTTAACAAAGTCCAAATTAAAAGTTTAAAGAAAATGTGTGGTGATTAGTGACCGTTAATCGATAATTATTCAGAAATCGTGAGATGCGGTCTGGTGTGATGTAGGTTTCAGAAAAACATTTTCTTTATCGTGCCAACGTTTCGATCTTTATTGAGATCATCTTCAGGCCTGGGATTTACTTTGTTTACATTTAACAAATACATTTAGGAAAAGTGAATTTTTACAATGCAAAATATATTTTTTATATTCAATCAAAGTATTTCTACTCACTCAAAGTGTTTGTCTTCTGTGTAATTGTGCCATTCTTGTGTGTCGTGTTGAGAGTGCCAGTGAGATTTTGCTGTTTTATGTTTATATAAGTTGGGTTTTGAAGGGGTGGGAAAGGAAGTAGGAAGAACTTGTATTGTATAAATTAACTTTTCCACATCCTAAATGTATTAGTTAAATGTAAACAATGTTTGTAAATCCCAGGCCCTAAAGATGACCTCAATAAAGATCAAAACGTTGGCACGATAAAGAAAATGTTTTTCTGAAACCTACATCATACCAGACCGCATCTCACGATTTCTGAATAATTAAAAAAAATCTAAAAGGAATGGTTGTGAATAAATCTTGCTATATGTCTACTAACCCCTCGTCATTAGATAGGCAATAAACCGTTATAAGCTATTAAAACAAAATTATTCGAGTGACAGAGGAAAAGAAGGAAACAAGGGCCGGCGATGATCTCAGGTGTTTTTCAGCCCACGAACCTCCCAATTTATGTATATACTCGAGTGATCTAATTAATAATATATGGAAAGTATTTTATCATAAGGTCAAATATAAAACACATGGTTTTTTATTGTATTTTGATATAAATAACATCGAAAATTGTAGTTATAGTTTAAGCCATTGGTAGTTACTACATTAGTTTTGATACCGCAGAAGGATGATTTAATTGGAAAATGATTTGGATTTGGTGTCCTGTATGCGTGGTGACTGCGTTGATACTGGCACTGGGGTGCTATGAGATAGTGCTAGGCCCCGGACACCACGTTCAGGTGAGTCAAAACGGAGAAAATGCACACGAGAACGGCACGTCCTCCGACCGGCTCTTCCTGTTCCTGGTGGACGGGCTCCGGAACTCGTCCGGGCTGAGCACGTCCAACGTCACATCCCGGGGCGTCTTCGGGCTAAGGATGAGCTATACCAGGATGGCGATCGTCGGTGCGGCTACAGGGAGGTACGATCCCGTCACCTCGTTTCTCTTCTCGACCCCCATCAACGCGGACCACGTCTTCGCCAAGGCGGATCGGGTCTACTATTTCGGACCGGAGGCGACGCCCCGTTACTTCGGCAATCCGGACAACTGGTTGACCGACGTCTATCCGACACAATGGCTCAACGACTATCCGGAGAATAAAGGTCTCATCGACAAACCAGATCAATATGTACTTGACAAAGTGCTCAAGGTATTTTCATCTCCCACATTCATTTTCTTTAATTTTAAACATGTGGAATTATTTTTAATATTCAACAGCGCCATAAATTAGTTTTTTGGCTTCCAGCTGTTAAACGCTTTTGTCCCAGTTAAAATGTCACGCATCGGTGGTTTGTAAGAACTGCGGCAAACCTGAAGTTTATACTTTTGTTTACTTCACTATAATATAATATAGGAATGACCCTTAACGATGACAACACTTTGATTGATTAGTCACAAAACCCTCACTTATTAACAAAAGTTCATTTGCATTAAACTGTTTACCAACTAACTCTAAACGTTTATTTCGGGGGGGAGGGGGGTCATAATAGGCCTGGACAAGATGTTTCTGCCACATCTGTTTCGCAATTGTCACACATTTTCCCTAAGCCCCGACTGACCTTTATTTAGTTGTTCGAAGAGTTTTAGACCTTAACTTGCGTCTCATCATGTTATGGCACATCGAAAATTCTCTCGAAATTTAAGATTCCTTTAAACAGTACTTTATGATTAATATATTATTTTTTACATAAAATATTCGAAATAGTAAACATAGAAACTTTTCATTGGTTCCAAAGGCTCTTGGTAACCTCTTGGTACCTGATTTAAGGACTAAAAATGAGTTTGTTGACAGTTTATACAAACCACACTGCACACCTACACAGACTATAATGAAAAGACAAATATTCTTGTTTTAGCATCTAAAAGAGAATAAAGGGAAATTTAATAAGAAACAAAAGTGTATATACTTCATACACCTAGTGACGATGGATCTCGCAGCGAGGGCTGAAGGAGTAAAGTCTCCGAGAGCTGCTGATGCGATGCTAAGCGTTGAGACATCCATATCCAAAATCGAAGCTTATGCCGAAGATGTGTTCGGTCCATCTCAAACGGCGTACGTCATACTGTCAGGTCACGGCACTGACGAATACGGGAGATCAGGAGGCTCGACTCTCGATGAGCTGCACCTCCCAGTTTTTATATGGGGTAATGGTACGAGGCCCGGTGTGATCCATTCGGGAGTACGTCCTGTTACCGATTTGTGCCCTCTGCTTGCGGCCCTCTTGGGAGTCCCGGTCCCAGTCCATTCCAGAGGGAAGATTCCGAGAGTTTTCGTCGCTCCCAAAGTGTTGCCTTACGCTCTTGCTGCCAACGCGCTACAGCTCGGCGTGCTGTGCAGATCGATGGCTCGTTCCGCCGGTCCCTTATCTAGAAAACTAGTCAGCATACCTTTAACACCCTGCCTTTACTCAGATTACACTTTTAATATATCGGTGCACTTGGAAAAGAAAAATTTTGAAGCTGTTTTCAAAGAATCGACAAATCTCATCGAAATAGCTCACTCGTGTATAAGTAAGAAGGATTTTTGGTATTTTTAAACAATTTAATTTTTCAATATTAATACTGAACTTTTATTTATAGACAAAATGGAAGGATTTTACAGCGGTTCGCTTCTTTTCACACTTGTTATGGCTTACCTTGCTTGGATCGGCTTGCTTTGTTCCACCTTGGCCACTCCTCCTCCTCCCGTGCGATTTGCTTGGAGCTGGATTCCTATGATAATAACACTGATGACCCACGTTCTCTTCTTCTTCAAGATCGTCGTCGTAGCTTTGGTGATTTGGACGGAGGCGTGGCCCTGGTATCTTCTACCGGTTTTCGAGCTTCCCGTTTTCCTCTGGTGGACGGCTGTTTCGAGATCCGAAAGGATTTGGCTTTCGTTCTACAAAGAGGGCATCGTCAAATCGGCCATGTATGTAGCCTTCGCAGTTCTAGTCGTAGAGGTAAAAAGATCATGAAAAATATCGCTCTGAAACACGAGAATTAAAATTAACTTTAACAGGTAATCCATTGGACACATTCTAAGATATATTTCTCAATGTTATTTTTTCTGCCGTACGTAACTTGGACATCGACCATGAATTCTCGATACGTTCCCACCCACGTCACTTGCGTCTGGGTCGGTACGACGCTTATAATATTGATAGTGCCTTCTCTACTCTGGCAAATGAAGGAATTAGGTAAATCCTCCCCGGCCATACTTAACGTCGGAGCCGCCATATGGATAATCGGTGGCTGTCTCAGCGCTTACAGAATGGATCTTCGCGCCAAGGAGCATATCGTCACAGGTGTAGTAGCTGGAGCCGGAACTTTGGCTATTTGGTTTGTCGATCTCTACCACTTGGGCATATGGGAAAACTGGATGAGAGCGATTTCATGGATAATTTTGTCAAGTCCCGCAGTCACAGTTTTCGGATCGTCCACTCTCTCTACAAGACTTATCCAAGTGAGAATACACTAATTTTTCATAAGTTTTCTTTAACAAAATCGACAACTAGTAACGATTCATTGGTCTTATAGCCATTCGTTCACTTCTATGATCATAGTCCACAATAGTTTAACAGAAAATAGGTCATATCATGTTTCATATTTACGCTATGGGAAGTTAACTACTCCTATAACAGTGTACTCTGAGGACAAATGATTCCTAACTTGAAATTTTTGAATTTTTCGATGTGCTTTTGATCTTGGTGCTAACGAAAAGTTTCATTTTATGTATATGACTTTTGAGCATTATTTCCCGTCTGTTCTAGGTATGCATGGCGTTGTCCGTTCCGTTGTTATTGGTTTCTTCCGGTCAGGAGCCACTCTCTTTCCTCATCCTATCGATCAATCTGTACGCCTGGCTAAGATTAGAAGCGTCCTCGCCGCAGTATAAGCACCAGAATTACTTGAGAGCCCTCGCCCTGCATTTTTATCTCAACTACGCTATTTCCGTCATCGGACCGCAGCCAATCGTCTTCACGTATGCGCACAAAGTTTCACATTTCTTCTCTTCAGTGGAAAGCCCGTGGATAAACTTCAGTGAGATCATATATTCGTGTTTTTGATGGGTACTCATTGTCCGTACTGATTTGACGGTTTTCAGGTATGAACTGGTACAAGCTGGGCTTGATCGCCTCTCTCGTCATCTCCTTCTGGAGTGCCGTGTCGCTTTACATCGGAGCTAAAACGTCTCTAACCTTCAAATCCTGGCTTGTCCTGGCGGCAATATCATCTGCCAGACATTGCCTCAGCCTCTTCCTCAACGACGAGCCCAACCTATCGGATCTTTTTTACGCTCACTTCATTTTCTTGGCGGTCCTCATACCCTTTTGTATAATTCCATTTGTACTCCTTGTTACAAAATATAGGAACATAATCAGATCTGATTAAAAACCTGTAAACCGAGTTTCTGATTTTTTTATAGTTGAAAATTCCCGAGAGAAAGTGAAGCTATTATTGGAGAAACACGTATTATGATTCTTTTTTTATTTTTATTCAGCTTTTCCGATATTTATAAAAAAACTGGTAGAAAGTAATGTCATAAAATACAGAAGGGACCATACAGCTCTCGAATCACTCGTTTTTACCAGGTATCGTTTTGTTTTTCCGACCGAATCGAATCGCCGTTCATGGATGAGGGCTATTTCGATAGTTCACCCCCTTTTTCGCCTCGTGAAATTGGCACATTTGGACAGGGAAGATTGCCCGTGAAGAAACGATAAAGTTACAAAATAACTAACAAGAAAAAATTTGTTTTATATTTTTCTCTCTAGTTATGCCAACCCATGTCTATACAGAACTGTTTGTCGGTCCGATTGTTTCAACCCAAAGCAATTTCCATTTGTTAAAAACGGTTTTACAGTTGTATATTCCTTTGAAAATTTTTTAATGGAACTTAAATTCCAAACGCTACACACTTGATTATAATCATAGCCAGTCACTAGTTTAACTTTTGAGATAGCCTATCGGTCAGCATTGGCCATAAGCATATGTCCTAACATTCAGTCACGTCTTGCAAATCAAATAACTATTTTTAAAAATGTGTTGTAAATTATAGGCTTTTGTAACTATCGACGTATTTATTAAACGAATATGACGTAATCATTTTTATGAAGATGACAATATTTTATGTGGCTGGTAGTATTTATTGTTATTAGTATATTAATCTTTATGTAACGTCTTCGTTGAAATGAAAAAGTTAGGGCCACGAGCGGGATTCGAACCCACGACCTTCGGCTAAATACGCCACAGCTCTACCACTTGAGCTATCCTGACTTCGATCCACTCGACACCAACTTCCCATCTCAACCTACCTTTCGAATTTGTGTCGCCATTTCATTTGTCGCCGAGAATCGAATCCTGATTACACGACATTTGAAAAATGACAAAAAGGAGGGAAAATTCGAAGTGAGATGGGAAGTTGGTGTCCGAGTGGATCGAAGTCACGATTGCTCAAGTGGTAGAGCAGTGGGGTATTTAGCCAAAGGTCGTGGGTACGAATCTCGCCCTTAACACTAACTTATTCATTTCAACCTTACGTAAAGATTAATTAATTGAAAGGAGTTATTTGGTCAATCGGACCACGAAATATAATGGATTTAATAAATTCTTAGTATTCTTTTGATATCAGTGGTAGAATTGACAGAGCAATTATTTCAAATTACACGCAAATTACCAGTCAGATTTTATATCCCTCTTTGATAATAGAGCATTTGCTATAAAAAATGACAATAACCTTTTGGCTTTTATATCTAAACCAGCCTGAGTTAACCACCATGACACTATTTGCCGATGTCATAAAAGTCATAACGGGGTTATTAGTATTCTTATTGTTTTTTGTAGATTGCATTTATTTATATTTTTTACCTGACTCCTTAGAGACTAAAAGTTGAGAATTATTGATTTTTTTAGGTCAAACCAATGATTACTTTTTTAATGGTAAAATTTCTAGAAGAGTGAAGTATACTTTATACTTATTGTTTTTTTGTAGATTGTATTTCTTTATATTTTTTTATCTAACTCCTTAGAGACTAAAAGTTGAGAATTATTGATTTTTTGTCAAAACAATGATTACCTTTTTAATGGTCAAATTTCTAAAAGAGTGAAGGGTGATGTGTAGCCGTGTAGCATTTTAGAAGTTTGGTCTGCCAAACGCCCTTTCGGTATTTATATACTATACGATTTATTCAGATGTAAATGTCAATACAATGTGATTTGAACGTCTTAAGAAAAAAAGATCTCGATCTTTTAAGCAACAAATGTGGAGACCAGGCTGATTGCCAGGTAAAAATTCCTTATGGTCGACGGGTGTCAAAACAAACAGAAATGATTGATTTATGGCCATGGGGGATTATTTGTACCTCCACTAAGAGTCGTTTATCCCAAGTAAACAAAACAAAGTAGACAACGTCGCTACTGGGCATTATTCATAAAGATGCGTCTACCCTATTCAACGTCTTCGCTTCTTCCTGTCATCAAATGAAAAGCTTTTAAAATAAATTTTCACCGGCATGAGGTAAACATTCCAAACGTTCCAACTTATGTTTCCTTTGTGCTATAATAAGTAGAAAAGGAAGCTTACTGATTGAATGAAGTGTTGAACTGCATTGCTAGTTTTAAAACTCTTAAATGTTATTTATTAACTATTATAAGGAGTAAATATAGAAATATTGGATCATTTTAACAATTTTATAATCATTTAGCCGAAGTTTCAACTTTACCTCTTGGTTTTGTAACCAGGATATTTTTTTTTTTTTTGCTTGGCATTTCATAGTGATCTCTGTTTGAAAAGCAAGTTTGTTATAAACTTATACAACTCGATCATGTATAGAGTGAAAATATAAACTGTGCCAATAACGGCATCATCACAATGAGTTCTTTATAGACACTTCCATAATCAGAGATTTTAAATTGTATTTACACAGTATGCAGGGTGTTCGGCTACTCGTGTAACAAACTTTGCCGGTAGATTATACGTTCAAAATGGAATCAAAAAGTCTTAATTAATTATGATCCGAATCTCAAGAGAGTTGGAGTTATTCCCCTTTTTCTGATTTTTTAAGCTTTCACGACCTTACTTCAAATAAACAATAGTAACTCCAAAACTGAAGGTGTTGGACAAATCCGTTGATACCATTTAAAACTAATTATTCATTATTTTTCTATGTCCTGGCTACTAAAACGCTTATTTCGCCAACGTTTACAAGTTTAGTATTGAACACATCTTATTGGAATGGTTGGTTTTCAAGCAGAATGAAACTGAACCGATAAATGAACAATATTTGATATTTAAATATAATCAAAAAGTGTAAATACGAATACACATTTAAATGGTTTAATTGTGAATGTACATTTATAACAGAAACTGGGTATATAAATAAATTCAACTAAAGAAGCTACATAAATTATAGATGTAAAGTAAAATTTCAAATTTATAAGAACAACCACAATAACAAAGCTTAATTAATAAAATAAAATTTGATATATACAAAATATACCTAAATAGAATTTGATATATCTAATAATTAAATTCTATTACAGCTTTTTTCTATATCTTGATGCATTAATAATATACTAAAATATTTCTTGCAAATGTCTTCCTTTTAAATAATTTGTGAATACAGTCCGTTTCAATTTATAAGCATTTAGCCATTTTTTCTATTGTTTTTAATGTGGAACACATACACACAAAATGATAAACAATTTCATTTTACAACATATGGCAAAGAGAGCACTTATGTTTCTCATCTTTTGTAGTAATTGAACAATTTAAATTTAACAGTTCGAGTTTTCATGATCATCGACATACATACTCTAGATATTATCACTTATGTATACTTTTTCACCAACTTCAATATTATATAAAGTTCAAGTTAGGAAGGACTTTTGTATATTTAACAACTTTTATTTTGGTTCCACCAGTTCTACCATCTCCAAAATAATTCAATACTTATTAATAATATGTGTTTTAAATTGTAATAATTAGTATTACTAAATGCTCTTGAAGATTTAATTCATTGTAACACTATTTATGAAAATCTGAAAAGGAATAAGTTTTAACAACAATCACAATCTTATTGAATTGTTCAGATAGTATAAAACAGTAAATTTACTGTCAAAAATATAAAAGTGAAATATTTAATTCAATAGTGAAATGCTAAAATACATTTGATCGTGACAGGACGGGTACAGCAAGGAATGATTGAGAAAGTAAAACTACCGCTTATTTATGTAAGTTTAAAAAATAGACAAAAAATAAATTGATAAAAAAATGAAAAAATTTCACAAGTTATGGAGCGAAAAAAATAAGGTAGAAAATACTGAACAGGTCAATCAGAAGCTAGCAAATGTTTTAAATAAACAGATATACGAAGAAGCAAATAACATATACTATAACGCAAATAAATATATAGTTAAAATAACTATTAACTAGAATAAGCTGTCAAGATGTTCACGTACTATAAGAATTATTGATGTTTTCAATGGAAAAAAATAATTAACAACAGCAAACGTGAATAATAAAAATAAGTAGGAAAAAAAATTTGTAAAATATATTTCAAATAAAAAAAACTATCTGACTAAATTCAGAGAGTTTTGAGATCACCTAACTATAGTTCTACGTTTAGTTAAGACAGCTATACAGAGTTTACAGGTTAAATTTCAATACTGCTCTGGTGGATTCAGTAAATAAAAAGTAGTTCAGTGCAACCAGATCGAGGTTTTTATCCTGACCTATTCCTGAGATATTGAAATTTTTGTGATTTTAGTCTAAAACCAGATTTTTTAATATAAAATCGTAATTTCTCAACTTTATCGTCATTAAAATACAAATCTGACCTTATTTCGCAAAGTACATTAAATTTTCCTCAAGATAACAACATTTCCGTTGAAAAGTTTGCGCTTCTGAGTACATTGTAGCCGCTCAAAGAATAACAAATGGCAAAACCCATGTTTTTTTCGAATTACTCAATTGCGGCTCGTGCAATGACTTTTCCATAAAATTTTTGGGGGATTTCACAAAAGTTGCTTATTTTATGTGTATTCCAAGGACCTACTCACTTTTACACTTTTTACAACGTTCTTAGTGATATATCCTTTAAATATGGATGGAAATGGATCTGATTTTTGTTACCAACTAATAAATGTTTTAATTAAAAATATTACATGCACGATGCTCTTGTGTTGGGTTCGATATCACTTTTTTCAACTTTGCAAAGGCTATTTCACTAAGAACGTTGTAAAAAATGTTTGTCCTTGGAAAACTTATAAAATAAGGCAACTACACATTCATTGATTTATTGTAAATGGCAGGCTCGCTGGAACGAAAGTAATGGAAAACTAAAAATACATAAAAATACGGTGAGGCCAAGGCCAGTGGAGAATTTGGAAAAACGTAACAAAATAATA